CTTCAGTTACTTGGGGACCCGACACCCTCACAGTATTGCACATAAAAAATTAAGTAAAATAAATTATTAGAAGTTTTTTAGTTAAAAAACTAAATAAAAGCAGGCTATGGAAGTCATGGAGAACAAGCCACTAAGTAGCACTCTTCCATGGCCTCTGCTTCAGTTCCTGCCTCTAAGTTCTGAGCTCCTGCTCTGACTTCCCTCAGTGGTTGCATTTGGTAATGGTGTTTATCACAGCAATAAAAACCCTAAGACAGCTACACACTCATATGGTGGGTCCTGAGACATACCTTTTATGTGACTATTGCCCTTTCAATTTCTTTCCTAAAATTTTCTAACCACACCAGGCTGTATACTCCACACTCACCACCAAAAATATACTTTATAACCACTCACCCCACTCCCCAGTACCCCAACCACACCAGCATGCCTTGTAGAACAACAAGGAATTGGAACCTGTTGATGAATGGAGACTTTAAATCCTTCATGGTTGTGTGCCAGAGTGAAAGAAAGATTAAAATGGCTGGTAGCTTCATATGGCTAGGAGGGATTCTATTGAATTTGGAGGTGATGGATGGGACAGGAGAATCTCTCAGATCTGTCATTCATCCTCCTGGAGTTGGATAAGAAAGTGCCATTTGTAACATCAGAAGGGGTTGCCCATGGCACAAGTAGAGCTAGGAAAAATGCTACCTTGCTGACAACTAGCTGCTCCCTGCCACTCTCCACCTTACTAGCCACTTGAGAATGAGTGGAGCACATTGCTCATCCAGAGTTAAAGGAGCCCCAGCAGCCTAACACAGTTCATCAGTCTCTCCTCCCTCTGGCTGCCACTGGAGCCCTGTAAAAGCTGAAACTGTAGCCACCAGCTCTGTGGGTTGCCTACTCCCACCCTGTCACTGACCCCAGGCCTGGGCCTCAGCCCAGTGCTTGTGCCGGGAGGGGGTGTTGGCCTTGCTGACAAAATCCAATTGGAATTTGTCAAGGTTGTGGTTTGGGCTTAAGTTTGCCACAGAGTGTGTGATGAAAGAAAAGGGAAAACTAGAAAATAAAGGGAGCCAAAGGGACTACAGATGAAGGAAATAGGAAAAAGTTAAAATACTCTGGCCACAACTCCATTGAAGAGTGAGTGCTTCCTCCTGAAGGTAAGGCAGCCCCATTTTGGATCCTGTTATCCTCAGTCTATCCAAGCCCATTCTCACTTCAGTCCCCTCTCTGTCGTTTCCTCCTCTCCTCATCCACACATTGAGTTAGCAAGTGTATGACATCTGTTGCCATGGAGCTGAGAAGATGGTTCAGCAGAGAACCCATGTCACGAAGCTCACACCACCTAAAACTCCAGTTCCAGCAGTTTCAAGACTCACTGCGGACACTCACACATGCACATAAATGTATTTATGTATGAGTGTTTTGCCTAAATGTATGTCTGTGTGCCATGTATATGCCTAATGTCTATGGCGGTCAGAATAGGATGTTGGATTCCTTAGAACTGGAGTTACAGACAGTTGAAAGCTGCCATATGGTAGCAGGGAGTCAAACCCAGGTCCTCTGCAAGAGCAAGAAGTACTCTTAATCATGGAGCCATCTCTCAAACTCCCCCAAAATTTTGTTGTTGTTTTGTTTTTGAGATAAGAGTATCTATAGAGCCCTGGCTATTCTGGAACTCACTGTGTCAACCAGGGTAGCCTTTAACTCACAGAGATCTGTCTGTCTCTGCCTCCTGAGTACTGAGACTAAAGGCATGTCACATACACACACACACACACACACACACACACACACACACACACACACACGCACGCACGCACGCACACGCACACACAAAGAAGTTTTAAAGTCACCATGGAGTACTACCTGATTCAGCACTTCTTAAACTCTCCTGACCCCCCAGAGCTGTCTCATCTGACTTCAAAGAAATGTGAGCAGTGGGTATCTCTATTGCCTGGAGAAGTGTAGGGAATTATTGCTACATTCCCTGGAAGCATTTTGGTGTTTTTTTTTTAAATATTTATTTTTATTTTCTGTATGAGTGTTTTGCCTGCACGTATGCCTGCCATGGGTGTGCGGGAGCCTGCAGTGGCCAGACAAGGGCACCAGATCTCCTGAACTGGAGTTACAGATAGCTATGAGCTACCATGTGGGTGTTGGGAACAGAATCCATGTCCTCTGTAAGAGCAGCAGGTACTGTCTCCACCTCCCTGGGAGTATCTTATGCCCCCCACCCTCGCGCTAAATATGCAGGTGTTCTGAAAGTGTGCTGCAGATCCTTTGTCTACACTGCATCTTTTTTAAATGTATTCTTTTTGTTGTTGTTTGTGATTAAAAGCATGCGCCACCACTGGGCAGTGGTGGCGCATGCCTTTAATTACAGCACTCTGCGAGTTTGAGGCCATCCTGGTCTACAGAGAGAATTCCAGAACAGGCTCCAAAACTACACAGGGAAACTCTGTCTCAAAGGAAAAAAAAGAAAAAAAAAAAAAAAAAGCATGCACCAGCACCTGGCTGAGGTTTAGTTATTCTTATTTTATGTGCATTGGTGTTTTTCCTGCATATGTGTCTGTGTGACGGTATCAGATGCCCAGGAAGTGCTCTTAACTGTTGACCCATCTCTCCAGCCACCCCTACCCAACCCCCACATTGTATTTGAGACAGGGTTTCTCTGTGGCTTTGGAGGCTGTCCTGGAACTAGCTTTTATAGACCAGGCTGGTCTGGAACTCACAGAAATCCCTCTGCCTCTGCCTCCCGAGTGCTGGGCTAAAGGCGTTCAAGACACCACCGCCTGGCCCCACATTGCATCTTAAAATGTTTCTTTTTCAGTTACAGGGAGAAATTTGAGAGCCCCTTAAAGATTCTATGTCTGATATTTTTATTGAAAACCACTAGAGTAGCCTGTGTGGTGCATGCCTTTAATCCCAGCACTCAGGAGGCAGAGGCAGGAGGATCTCTGTGCATTCAAGGCCAGTCTGTTCTACAGATCAAGTTCCAGGACAGCCAGGGCTACATAGAGAAACTCTGTCTCAAAAAACCAAACCAAACAAACAAACAAATTTTTCTTCTCAAAGATGTTGGGCTAGATGTTGAAGAAATATTTCTGTTCTTTTTAGGTATATCTGAAAAGATAAGGGAGGGACCAGCAAGAGGGTCCAGCAGTAAGGGTGCTTGCCAGCCAGCCTGAAGACCTAAATCCAGGGGCTGGAACCCATATGGTAAACGGAGACAGCCACAGCCGGCTTCTGCAAACTGTCCTGTTACTTCCACTTGGGTGCCTGCCATGCCTGTATCCACTGACATGTGCACTCACACACATGCTCCGTGCACACACCCACAAATAAATGTAGAAAAAATGTAAAAGATAGAGGAATTATTTTACTTGGATTAAATACAAAAGAAGAATGAATAAAGAACAAAATATATATGCAAATAATTCAATGGCAGAGAATGTTACTTTTGCTAGAAAAATCTCATTTTAGTTGACCCTGACAGGGCCCACCTGGAATCCCATAACTCAGGAGAACAAAGGCAGCCTACATAAATAATTTTCATTTGAGACAGGAATCCCTTTCGTGTTTTCCCATCAGTTTAGCATGTACCCCCAGATTCTCTGGCTTGGACTTAGAGACAACCGTACCTGTTCTTCTAAGTTCACATACATCATTAGGTGACATTTTAAGACTTGAAACTCCCAGAGCAGATGTGACCTTGTATAGGAGAGGGGTCAAAGGATGACAGTCGGAGGAGCAGTCTCTCTCCTGCACACCAGTTTTATGACTGGGGTAAACACAGCTATACCCATCCAATTACGTGTGGTCTGTGTCTGCTTTTGTCCATCTCCTGCCCATAACTATTTTGAGTCTATAACAGCAGAATTGAGTAATTATGGTAGAGATGAGTAGTTGACATAAAGACCACAATATAAATAGTCTTGTATATTTAACATCTAGCCCTTTGCAGGAGAAAAAAAAAGTTGCCAACATTTTTTCTAAGTAATGATGAAGGTGATACCCGGGGTTGGGAGTTGAGGGCTCTGGGTGAATAGGGCCTATGTACATTTGGACCTATCCTCTCGCCCAGAAGCCCACCCTGGTCTTACAGACTAAACATCTGAACCCAGTCACTGAGCATCATTTCAAACCCTTTGTGGAAGTCAGCAGGATATACATAAAAAGTCACAGAGTACAGGAGTGTAGGTTTCACATAGGAAAACAAAAACAAAACAAACCACAGGCTGCTACCTCAAGAGTGGCTAGACATATCACCATCTGCATCCACCAGCAACCAGTCCAGTAAGTTAATTTATTTTAGTTTCAAACAGGAACCAAGACCATGTCTCAGTACAATAAATTATCCATTCCCACCCTTCCTACTGAAGAAGAAAGAAGAGCCTCCAGGGGTCATAGCTAAAATCTTTCCTTCGGAGGGGCCCTCTCAACAACAGAATGGAAGAACAATTCCCTAAGAGCCTGACAAGACAGCCATCTGAGGACTCAGATGAGAGTTCCCTGCAGTGCTCTGTCCTTTCCAACTGAAAACCTCTCATTATTGTCACCCATGGTCCCACAAGAAGAGGTTCTGGGTTGTCATGGAGGAGTTCGAGAACTGCAAATAGGAGGAGGTCTCTTTCTACATACAGGTCTTAATGACTCCACCCGATGCCTGGTGGTACCCTTCAAGGAAGACGAGTGGCCAAATGATAGCCTCCCTATCTAAAGGAGTATAAATCTGGGCCCGAGACCCCTGGGGTTGATAAGAAGGGACCAATACAGTGCATTTAATCCTAGTCCATTCGGATGTTTAAGAACAGAATATGATGACTACTTTCCCCACAAAAGGCTGCTCATCACAGATTTCACCTGACCCTACTCTCCACAAAGCTGTTTCCAGGAAGATGCTTTGAGCTTCCAGGGGCCATGATTAACCTTGGGTAGAAATCAGAGCAAAGGGCTGAAAAGGAGCACCCATCACGCAGTGTTCTGCCCTAGTCCCAAGGTGAGGCTGGCCTTCACTTACACACATTGACCCATTCTGTGACCTTGCATTCATCACACAGCACGTAGCAGCACCAGTGGAAACGGCAGTGGCAGCGCTCCACTCGTGTCTGCCGGAGCACATTGTGCCCACGGCCACAGCACAGGCTGCCACAGCCATCCAACAGGCGGCTCGTCTTGTTGCAAGCCCGGCCTCTTGTGCCCGGTGAGCCCACCGTAGGGTCTCGCTCGCAGAAGTCAGGAGACTTCTCAAAGTAGACCAGCTCTCCTGAGAGGCGACGGGGACGTAGGCGGGGCTGGAAGGCTCCAGAATTGCGGTTGTGGGTATCGATGAAGATGGCTCTGCCCAACCGCTCCCTCAATGCTGCCCCAATGGCCCGGAACTCTGGAGCTGCCCTCCAACAAGTCTTGAATTGGCAGCTGCCTGATGTGCCATGGCACTTGCATTTCCGCTTCAGGTTTTCAGTTACCACCTAGAACATCAGAGCAGCAAGAAGGGTTGGGGCGGGGCCACCACAAATAAATAGCACAGGGACACAGGAGGGGAAACGAACTCAAGAAGGGAGGAGTAGACTGTCAGGAAAGTGAGCCACAAGCCCAAAGGCCTCCTTCTGTGAAGGGAGAGCCACCAGGATGTACTCATCTTTGATCACTAGCATTTCTAAATCCCAGTCCAGTGTTTTTTTCCAGAGTAAACACTGATAAAATGGGGGTGTAGGCCAGAGGGCCCCTAGAGTCTGTAGGGAAGGCAACTGTTGGAACAGTTTCTATGCAATGAGCTGAGTACTAGGCACACATAGAATATATTATATGTGGGGGCTGGAGATGTGGCTCCATAGTTAAGAGCACTGGCTGCTCTTCCAGAGGACCCGCATTAAACTCCCAGCAGCCACATGGTGGCTCAACTAACTGTCTGTAACTCCAGTTCCAAGAAATCCAATACCCTCTCTTGGTACACAAGTAGTGCACAGACCTACACATGCAGGCAAAACAACCATACACATCAAATTTTTAAAAATGATAAAATAAGATACTGTGTGCTAGCTCAGCCTTCCTATACGGTAAGTACCATCAGGCAGCTTCCTAGAGATTCTAAACATGTTTTGGGTGGCTTACTAGTGACAAGCTTGTAACAAGTGGTGATCACTCATCAAACCTCATCCTATTATATCACTCTGTGGAGCCTCTCAGGAGCGCAGGAAAGAGAGAGAGAGAGACAGAGAAAAGTTGGGCTTGGTGGCCACACCTACAGTCACAGCACTCAGACTAAAGCAGATTCTGAATTTGAGGCTAGCCTGTACCACATAGCAAGACCCCATCTCAAAACAAAACAGTAAGGGAGACCCAGGACATGCTGAAGACACATACCTGGCGCCCCACCCTGTTGTTATGGATTCTCATTCTTGCCTGGATGTCCCTGGGAGCTTCTCTGAAATCCAAAAAATCCCGAGAGAACTTCTCTCCAAAGTCCATGTCGTGGTTACAGCCACCCCATTCCCATGTGTCCTGGGGGCTAGGGCTGGAGTCTGAGCCAGGGATAGGGCTGGGCTGTGAGTGTGGAAAACTCTTGCCCCGAGACAGTGCCTGAAGCTGCAGCAACTTGGCCCGGAGCCGGTCCTGTTCACCACTACCCTTCCAGCCACAGCCACAGCTCACCAGCTTGCCCAGGCTGCAGGCTGTAGCTACAGCGTGCATGACCCCAGCAGCCAGCATGGAGAACGAGAAAGCACTCTCTCGGAAACCTAGGGAGGAAATGAGTGTAAGGTAAGGTTGACAGGCAGCTGAGGGAGGAAAGCAGGTGTGTATGGGGGGGAACAGCCACCCTCCAATATAAATATCTATACCTATATCTTTATGTAGAGAGACAGATCTATATAGATTAGGTATAGATATTTGAGAGAGGGTCTTGCCATGTAGCCCAAATTGGCCTTGAACTCTTGACAAACCTCCTGCCTCAGCCTCCCAAGTACTAGGATTACAGATGTGAGCCACCACCTTGTCCAGCCAATGTCAGAAATTTCTAACTGAATCCTGACTCCATCGTTTACCAGCTGAGCCATTTGGAACAATGTCCTTAGACAAGAAATATCTCCAGGTCTCAGTTCCCTCAGCTATAAGAAGAGACCCGTGGGGTCAAGGTATTGTTAAGGCCAAACCTCCTCTGCAATCTGTCATTTTGGGGTGTGGATGTGAGAGAGCCTAGAGCAGTGGTTCTCAACCATCCCAATGCTGAGACCCCTTACCACAGTTCCCCGCAACCATAAAATTATTTCATTGCTATTTCATATCTGCAACTTTGCTACTGTTATGAATCATAATATAAATATCTGATATGGGACCCCTGTGAAACAGCTGCTCATCCCACTGTGGGAGCCCCACCCACAAGTTGAGAAACATTGGCCTAGAGAGCCCTGGGGGTTCCCAGGGAGTCCTGAGGACTTTTGAAGGTGTGTTCCAGGAGTTCAACATCTAAAAGCCTGAGAATTTCCCCAACCCTGCAAGGAGCTTAGCAAGAGGTGGGGAATAGATAGGGGGACCTTTGGTTTTAGGATTCTCCCCTGACACTTTATTCCATGAATCTTTTTTTTGGGGGGGGGTTCAAGGCAGGGTTTCTCTGTGGCTTTGGAGGCTGTCCTGGAACTAGCTCTTGTAGACCAGGCTGGTCTCGAACTCACAGAGATCTGCCTGCCTCTGCCTCTCAAGTGCTGGCACCACCACCACCCAGCTCGATGAGTCTTTTAAACAAGCTACCATGTACTACCACAGTAACAATCCTAATACTCCAGAACTGCCTACCCCCTTCCCAGGTTCTAGTTTTAGATTTGCTCTTCAAGATTGCCCTTTATGTTTCTTCTAACCTGCTATTACCTTATAAAACACTGGAAGGAGGAAGAAGGCCACAGTGATTTTCCCCAAGGCCCTTTTTTTAAAAGGTTGGCCTCTTCGTTATGTTTTGGGGGTCACCAAGGAGGAGGCTCCAGTATGACAAATCTTTCCCAGGCTTAGAGGGACATCCTCACCATTTGGGTGTCAAAACTTTCCTCTACACCAGGCCCTGCAGAGAAGGAGGGGTCCTTCTCTCTGCTTTAAGCAAGGGCTCTTTGGAGTGCTGAGATGAAAGACAGTTGGAGGCCAGGCGCCTCTTACCAGGGAATCTAGGGCTCCAGGGCCAGCCTCAAGATCCCCCAACCATCCAAGGGTGAGGCTGTTTGTACACGTCTTGGGAATTCCCCTGCAGATGGCAGCTGCCTATTAACCCTGTAGTCCCCAAAGCACTACCCTACCCTGGACTGAGCCCCCTGGATCTTTCCTCCTGGGGGAGTAAACTCCAATTGAGCCCAGGGAAAGACAGTGGAGCCTCCCAGACCTTTCCTTCTAGACCAGGCCAGCAGTGACCTGTTCTCTGCCCCTCCAGCCATTCCTCACCTGTTCAGGTGAGGGACACCTGGGGCCCCCACAGCACAGAGGAGGGGGCTGCTCCCCAGCTTCAAAGCCACCAGGGTCTTTGTTCCCAGCTTTGGCTCCTGGGAACCCCAGCAATTAGGGGAGCAGGTTTAACCCTTAAACGGTTGGGGGCGTCACCCCACCCCCGCTGAGACTCTGGGGACACCAGCCTGGGCTTGTCTGGGTGGAGAGGGAGGGGAGAGAAAATAGGGGGCAGAGGGGGTGTTTGAAGCTTCTTAGGTTGGGGGCATCTCTTGTTCACAGGTGCATCCCGGATCGAGCTGGGCAGAGGCAGAAAAGGGAGGCCCTAGGGTAGGGGAGCAGGGACCCAGCTGCCTCGCCAGCAACGCAGGTGGAAGGCAGGCAGGCAGAGGCCCAGACGGGTGACCAGCTGAGCGCGGCTCCTGGGGAAATTCCCGGCGAGGCCCCTCCCGCAGCCGCGAACCGGTCCCTTCCCGCCTCCGCGCGCCTCGGCCTGCCCCCAATCCCTGGGCGGCAGCACAGCCAGCCACCCCGTCAGGCTCACCGCGCTTGAGGATGGCGCTGGGGTGCGGCAGCCGGCCGCCGCCCTCCAGGGCCGAGCAGTTCCAACGCTGGTCGCGCAGCTGGTGCTGACACTCGTGAACCGCGATGTGCAGACCTTGGAGCGCGGACGCCGTCACGTCGGGGCTGCGTAGGCACAGGCCCAGCTGCCGCTTACTCAGGCCCGACAGGGTCAAGCACACGGTGTTGGCCGTCAGCGGCGGCTCCCCGGGAAGTTTTAGGCCCAGGATCTCATTGCTCAGAGCCCTGAGAACAAGGGACAAGGCGTCTTAGTGTCCGTGGTCTAGTCGCACGACCTCCAGCTACCCTCTAGCCCAGGCCGGTGCCTTTTCCCCAAACTGGAAAAAAAAGCTCACCGAGTGAACAAAGCCAAGAACAGGAGACCCGCGAGGCCCAAGGGCGGAGGCCGAGACCCGGGCTCCTCCAGCATGTCGAAGCCCGGAGGCTCCGGTGGGCGAATCAGTCAGCGCCTGCAGGACAAGGGATATCTGATGAAGAATAGAATGGCTTCCTGGAACCGAGGGATGCGCTAGTTCGCTTCCCTGAGCCACCAATGTGGCCCCACTGACTTTTCTCACCCCTCCCTAGTGTCTGGGTTCTGGAACCCTTCAAAGAGGAAGAGTCCAAGCAGCTCAGGGCCCTCCGGAGTGCCCCTGGAGTCCAAGCCAGTCAGACACAACTGGGACACTCACATGCGGACCCTCGATCCCTCCTCACCAACTGTTCCCTCCTTGAGGGCCCCACGACTAATTTACCCGCCCTTACAGGGTGAGAGGGAGGGACCCGAAGGGGGTTCCCCACCACCTGAAAGGGTGTCGCCTCCTCATGCTGGCAATACCAGGCAAGCTAGGTTAGAAGGGTCCGAGACCAAGCGCTTTGACCCACTCTCTGACCTTCACGCACAAGAGGGGAAGAGGTCCAGGTGCATCAAAGGTGACCAGGGAAAGCAGGTGCCCTCCGCAAAGTTAAGTCCACTTCCCCATCCACCTCCCTTTCCCAACTACACATTCCGACTGCAGAGCGCCACCCGTCTGGTCCCCACGGGTGCCACTCCGATCCCCACCCCTTTGCTGTAGCCCATTGCCCTCTAAGTCCGAAGGCACCCCTTTATTCTGTAGGTACCTTTAGCGATATCTCTGGCTTTCTTGGCGTGTCTGTGCTCTTGAGGTTGGACGCTTGTCTGACTGTCTGTCTGTCTGCCGGCGTGCCTGTCTAGTCTCTTCCCACCCTGTTCTCTCCCACCCCATTACCTCCAGCGGTTCAGGTGCAGAATCCACAACGCTCCCTGTCGGGTCACTTAGGCTCGGCTAGAGCGGCTTAAACCGTGGGGAGACTGGGTCGGGTTCGGCCCCCTCGGCAGAGCAGCATTCTTCCAGCGCTGGGCCACTCCTCTCTGCCGCTTCTCCAGCGTCGCCGCGGCCGCCGGGAGGAAGGGAGGGAAGAAGTGAGGGAGTGATCGAGACAGCAAGCGAGCGAACCCGCGACAAAGCACCGGGGGCTTTGGCTCGGCTCGA